TTCGTTTGCATCGATTATATGGATTGTTTCGTTAATATGGAAGAAAAATTATTGCACGTTCGATTACATTATTTCGACGAAAGAAATATCGTTTTTTACTAATTTCTTTTTTTTTTTTTTTTTTTTTTTTTTTTTTCTTTTTCACATAACGAGTTAAAGGGTTAAATCTTTGATTTAAGAGATTATGCATACTTATGCTCAGACGTGATCGAAAGAAAGATAATTTTTCACGGTTTTTTTTTTGTCTTTTGCATGTTCATTTGGTTTGTTAATTAAATAAAAAAAAAATCATTGAATAAAAAAATTATTGTAATTTTTTTATATTAACGAAAATAAATTATCGCCGTTGGAAAAAGATTTTCGTATGATAAAAAAATGGATAACGATATGAGAAATAATATATCCCAATTATCGGTTCGGTACTTCTTTAAATTATAATTACCGTCAAAAAAAATCGGATTTTTTTTTTTTTTTAGTTATTTATTTACTATCTTTTTAATATTCTGTTTTCTTCTTTTTTCTCGTATTTATCCATACGTTTTATGTGACGATTTTTCCTTTTCCATAATTGATAAGAGAAATCGTAAGAAGATGATCGTTTCTTTTTTTTTTTGTTGATTCAATTATATTCATAATTACTTATTAAGAATATATATATACATCTTTTATATATATATACATATTGTTTAAATGAAAATTAAATTTAAAATTAAATAAAAAAATAAATAAAAAGAAAATTTTTATTTTGAAATTAAATATTATTTTATATGTTGGAATGTACGAATCTTTTATAGGTTTTTGGGGCCTCGAATGAATTATATGAAGACGTGTTTGTTACTAATTTAAAAAGATAAAAAAAATAAAAAAAATTGTACGTAAGAACGATCATAAGAATGAGTTATTATAGAGCGAACTATCACACACATCGTGAATGTAAATATTACCTATGTAATATAAATATTTAAATAATAACATGTATGTGAACATATATCTAAGTTGATTTAGATGTACGAAAAGTAAATTTATTTACTTATTTTCTTTTCCTTTTTTTTTTTTTATCTATAAAAATGTTATTCGATGATGATTAATTAAACATGTCACGTTCATGTACATATGTCATTAGATATTTCGTTGTAGTCGTGAAACGGCGGGAAATTCAAAATCATATACGTTGCACGTTTTTTTTTTCTTCTCCTTCTCCTAATTCGATTTTCACTGTGGAATCTTTTAAAAGTCGGCAAGATTTTATGGTTGCTTCTTCTTCTTATTCTTTTTTTCTTCTTCTTTTCTTTGCTTTTCTTTTTTCCTTTTTATTTTTTTCTTCGTTTTTAGCCGACGTTCATTCGTGGAAAGACGTGCGAAAGATTTGAGATTAGACGAGAACACGCGAGGCTCTTTTCATTTGTACAGAAAAAGAGAGATTGAAGTTCTTTCTCTCTCTTTCTCTCTCTCTCTCTCTCTCTCTCTTTCTTTCTTTCTTTCTTTCTCTCTAGCTATGTCGCTCTCGAAGTGAAAAATATTCGAGGAAGGTCGATAGAAAGGTCGATGCTTCTTTCTCAAAGGGCAGCCTTTAACGTGAACATCAGTCTGCTGGGGTAGATCGGTGTCATTAATTAGATATTGAAGGAATCGTTTGGACAGAATGGGGGTTGGGTAGAATGGACAGCCGGATCGATAAAAGTTCTTTTCGAATGAATTAAATCTTCTAGAAAGTTTAGTAAAAAGGACTCGAGTAAGCTAGAATTATATTAGATAGATTAGTATTGGTCATATAAATTTATATGTAAGTATATATGTATGTATGTATGTACCTATATATATATATGTATGTGTGTGTATTATATGTATGTATGTATGTATGAACTTTAGAGACTGATGAAGCTTATTAAAAAAATATAAAAAAATTTTTAATATACTTATCGAAGTACATACGTCGTTTTTAAATTTTCTGATGTTCCATATGGCTTATCGTTAGACATACTACTCAATATTCTATATTCTTTTTGATTATAATCAATGACCATCTTATTCAATATTTTTTTTATTTTATTTATTTTTTATTTTTATAATAATTATATCCATACATTATATATATGTGTATCATTTATAAAATTAATTTAAGAAATTATGTACACGAAATACATAAATATATGTATACATAATATATATATGTGTGTGTGTATGTGTGTGTGTGTGTGTGTGCGTGTGCGTGTGTGTGTATAATACTATCATTTAGATAATAAATTATTTAAAAAAAGGGAAAATAAGGGGGAAGAAAAACGGAGAAATAGGGTTCCGTGTTTGTAAATATTTTAAAGTGCACAAGTAGGAAGAAAAATTCGTAAAGAATAAAAAGTGGTAAGGAAATAAGAAAGGAAGGAATGAAGGGGAATAAAAAAAAAAAGGTTCGAAAACGGAGAAAAGATGAAAAATTGTAATAATATATGAAAAGAAATATGATTAGTTATTTGGATGAGCAAATCTAGGATGGAGATATATATATGTGTATATATATATATATATATATATATATATATGCATACACGCACGCACACACAAACAGATTTATTTATTTCTTTTATTTTTATTTTATTTAATTTATCGATTTATTTCAATTTTGTGTCCCATCGAAGATAGAAAACAATTGGTACGAACTTTTTCCTGGACAACCCGATAATAAATAAAGGACTAATAATAGTCAAAAGCAAGGATGAAATAAAACTGGAAGGTGAAAGATCTCAGAAAAAAAATAAAAATAATAAAAAAGAAATTTTTGAAAAGCACATACTCACATATAAACATAAACCATCTTGAAAAAAATAAACCCCTAAATTCTAGACGAATTACCGACTAAATTTTGTCAAGCATTTAGCACAAACATGAAATGTAATATAATTAATAAAAATATTAAAAGTGATTGTGAAACATCTAGATAAATATAAGGGCAATTCAAAATCGTGTAATATTTCAAGAAAATAAATAAACAATCCTATCAGGAAATATCTGTCCGATGATTTTTTGTACGGATTTATATATATATATATAAAAAAAAGAAAAAGATTCGAAAATATTAATTTAATTTTAATTAATACGCTTCTTGACGTCAGAGTTGAAGGAAAAGAAAAGAAATGAGAAATTAATGTTGCAGGTCTTTATCAAATTTCAATGAGTTTTCTGACATACATACATACATTAAACCATTAAATACACATACATATATATGCACACACACACACACACACACACACACACACACACACACACACACACATATATATATATATATAATATATTATGAAAGAAATTATTCTACATGGGATTGAGTTCTCAAATGATATATGTATATACATACATATACATATATAAGATATACATATACATGTAAAAAGAAGAAATGGTTGGTTAGGATCTTCGATGAAAGGAGAACAGTAAAAATAGATGTTACAGAGAGAAAGAGAGAGAGAGAGAGAGAGAGAGAGAGAGAGAGAGAGAGAGAGTGAGAGAGAGAGAAAGAGAGAGGTGGGAGGGAGGGAAAGGGAGTATTACAAGGGGATTCGCTCAATCCCGATCCTTTTCTCTCTATTACTAGACGACATAGACGACGACTTTTTCATCAAAAGAGGACATCAGAAAGTGAATATACAAATGGCGAGTGCCACTGCTATTTGCGGATGACCCTTTAATAACCGTAAAAGGGTTTATAATAGTATTCCCCAGAAAGATAACTTAAAACTTTGTGGATTATATAACGAAATGAATGGCACGAGAGTAAACGTTAGATAAGAAGAAATTAATGGTTTATCGAAAAATCTACGGAAGGAAGGAATAAATAAAACGATAAAAAAAAAAAAAATAAACAAGAAGGAATAAATAAAAGGTAAAATTAAAATCTATGGAATTAATAATGTGAACAATGAACTCAATGAAATAACAAAGGATTTATGTAAGCATATAATATCTGATTATTTATTTTATCTGACGGAATATCGATTGTTAAATATTAAATTGTTATTATATTGTCATTCGATATGATCCTTCTTTTTCAAGATTTTTTTTATTTCTCCTTTCATCTTCTTCCTTTTTATTATTTCTATTTTTAATTTTTTTTTGGTCATTTTCTTCTTTTTTTTCTTTTTTTTTCTTTTTTAAGGTCAACGCGGAATAAGAAAACTCTATGTACGATTAAATAACTTTCTTCTAATGTTATAAAAAAGCTTTGTTTTTTTTTTTTCAAGAAATTATCA